GTATGAGTAAAAGTAAAGGTGCATACATGATATTTACAGTAGCCACAAGGTAGAGTAACCAGTCAAAACCAATTAGACGAAGCGCGTATCCTGAGATAATCGGACCTATTTGATAAAATAGTTAAAATGAAATATGTGTGTATCTATGTAAACTATGGTATTTTGTTCCTGTTACCGAAAATGAAGCAAAAACAGAGTGTCATATCAAACAGAGAGAAAATATTGCCAAATCCAGATGCATATCGAACGTCAACTATTTGAATGAGTCCTGCGACCATAGATGAACTGACCATACCAATACCAATTCCAACTAGAGATACTGATACGATCAGAATACTGACTACTCGTGCTTGCGTAATCTGTTCAGAATCAATGTAAGATAAATCATAAGAGAATATATCTATCATATCTTACACTAATGAGGCCAACTGCTATGACTTGCATACCTAATAAACTACAAAACCATCGACCCATCCGAAAGCTTAACCGTCCGAAAATGTTTTGACTGAGAAACATAGCGATAGCGAAGGGAAGGAAAATCGTACCTATGAAAATAAAAAATAAAATATCGAAAAAGTTCGCATGGTCTACCTTGCAACCAAGATGGTGACCTCCATTCAATCATCATATGAATAGGAAGAATTGTTTCGAGAATTGCTCCACTACTCAAACTTAATAGAACACATCCTTAAGAGAACAAAAATACCGTAAATTTATAAAAAATAGAACAAATTAATTTACCCAACATTAACCAGATATATGGGTCACAAAGCAATGTAGGAATAGACACGTTTGTTTTATCACCTCCATATTCAACACTTTTGCCTTCTGACATTGAGCTAGAGCCGCACATCATGCTCAGACGAAGTACTATACAGAGGAGAAAACAGATCTCTATTAAACACTTGAAAAGTTTATCTAATAACTTACATCCGTCAATCAAAGCGATAAAGGCCAAAAGAAGAAACATGGTAGTCTTTCCATAATGATAGTATAGTACACCACCCAAAAATGGACCCACTAGAATTCAATATTGAGTATGTCTTTGTAGAAAAGTTAAAGAGTTACATGCAGCTCCAACCGCAACACCACTCGTTACATGACTGATTACACTACCTCGTTCTTCGTCATTATGATACTGGCTCGCCAAAAAAGCGAAACCTATAACGAATAAAGCAAAGATAAATTGTCAGTACGCAATTTAGACTATTTCAGACACCTGCCACTGCAGTGAAGGCGGAGCCGAGTCCTTGCAGTGCTCGACAGAAAAATAATGTGGCATACGTGTGAGCAAAGGCAAAACCTGCAACAAAATTACTGACTGGTTTAATAAAGTTAGTCCATCTTCATTTACCACAAGTAGAACCGAACATTACAACAAAGCCAAAGAGTAATGGTGGAGTGTATCCAAAACTCAAGGAAAAGGACGACTTATATTCCTTGTTCTGACATAACTGCTGAACTTACTGAGCGGTTAAAATGCCTACCAAAGGGTTTGTAAATAGCTATTTAGATTTGTTCATATACAAAAAATCTATTGGTTATTTCAAAATAAAACTCACTTGAACGAAAGATTTAGAAGCAAATAGTAAACCGATTCGGCCATTTTCCTGTGAAATAACAATTAAAAAGTTTGGAAAAGTTAAATATCTACCTGTATAAGATCTTGTTCTACCAACGCTTCTCCTTTAACCGTTTGGTGTCGATGAAAACCTGAAATTGTAGCATTTTCCTCAGAGATGAGGCGGCATTCTCGGTCGCTTGATGTCATTTTATTGAATTTTAATGAACAATTGTGAGTAGGATGTTCAATTCGATAAAGATAATCGGGAATGATCGGAACTAAAACATTGAAAGACGTTCTACGCATCATCGTGTTACACTGGTATCTATGATTGAGTTTCTTGATGGCTAATTTGAGAACTTTGCAAAAGTACTACTAAGCTTTATTAAATATTATCCTAGCAAAAATCATTTGATTGGGTAATTTTTTACTTCTGTATTTCTATCCTAATAAACGATGTTGCTTTCATCCGTTAGTTCACAAAGTTATTAAAACAATATTCATTCTGTATTCAGAACAAGTATCTCAAAATTTCTACCTTTTGAAGCGTCGTTTTTTAGGGTTGCAAAGTTCGGTGGTGTGTTCGACTATATGTATTTTTGAGAGTATTAAGATCTCGAAATATATTTTATCTTTCAAAATAAGGTACGCTACGATGTGTCTGGAGCTTCTCTTTTACTGTGATCATTTCGAATTTTCAGTTTTTTAGAGCGACAACCAGCATTATATTCCTTGAAATGACACATTCTACTCCCTATTTTGAAGAAGAAGATGTAAATACGGATTCCAATTCGAAGGAATGTGAAATGAAGATTTTGTTGCGGAAATCAGGTGCAACATTCGTTTCGGGACTCTGAGAACTGACTTCTCTTACGTGAAAACGGCAAGAGAACGATCCGTTAACAATTCAGGGTGTTTAGAATTGTGTAGCAATAAATTATCGAGTGAATCTTCGAGTACTCAGTAGTGAAATACCAAAGTGTCCTTTCCAGCTTAAAATAAGCTATACTAAAAATGTGACATGGAAAACGCTGATTACAAGTAAATATTGGATCTCTTTTACGTTGTGATCAGATAAAAGAGCAGAAGTGTTTTGTTTTCTTTTGAACTTCATATAATTTGTCTAATGGTAGGTAGTTCTAGTTTCTTAACGGGTGTCACAAAATGAATGGACCTCTCAGTATTTTTCATGTAATTCATTCATTTTTCAGTGTTTTGTAAAAAATTTTCTTACCGAAAGATTCCTCGTGAAATTCTCTACAAAATCGTAATAGAAGATATTTCTCTAGAAATCGAAAAGAGAAGAATAAGCAAAGACTGTTTGACATATGTGAAAACTTCAACTTTCAAAACTCATATTTGCCTTATCAATAGATTATGTTTGTATATTTTTTAGTATTGCCAATAGTGTTTATTTTAAAATCCGATTAGATGGTAAGGTGCAGCAGGAAAAGCTCTACAAACTACACTAAAAATATGATTTTATAAATTCACATTTTCTTGTTGAAAATGAACAGAATCACATATTACATGTTTCTAATTCTACGAATCAAAACATTTTTCGTTTGCATTGGGTTCTGCTTATTTTAAGAACGCACGACACACGGACTATTCAGCGCCAATTGTGGAGCTTTTCAGCCTGTATCTTATGATATATTTCTCACTCTTTTATTCAACTGTGTTAGATGATAAATAAGGGAAATAGGAGAAACATTCGCATTCCGTCAGAATATCTGCAAAAGCGTTCAAAACTTATGGAACGATATATTGTTTGATTTTAAAAAACAACACATATAGTACTTAAGATTTTTAATGTAACTTGTAGAGTTTTTCACAATGTATCTTCCAATATATCTTGATTTTAAAATAAACGATATAAACTGTAAGAATTCTATTGAGAGAACAGTCGTTTGGTTTGAAAGTTGAAGTTTTCACATATATCAAACAGTCTTTGCTTATTCTTCTCTTTTCGATTTCTAGAGAAATATCTTCTATTACGATTTTGTAGAGAATTTCACGACGAATCTTTCGGTAAGAAAATTTTTTACAAAACACTGAAAAATGAATGAATTACATGAAAAATACGGAGAGGCTCATTCATTTTGTGACACCCGTTAAAATGAAATTAATTTCAGCGAAAATTCGAATCAACATTCGAAATATGAATAGTGTTGGATTTCATCGTATACGCTGGTTCGTCTACGGATATTGATCTATAGATCAAACTTTGGGAAAATCTGGTTCCATGGCGGTGACTTTGATGAAACTCTATTTGAATAAAAGACATTCACTTTTTATCGATAACTGATATACCAGTCCTCGTTTATTCGAAAAATTATATGAACTGAAGACCGCGGTGCATGTGGTAGTGTACGCCGAAACCGTATTGGTTCAGTCAAACTTGACAAGCTCACAAAAGAGGAATTTGAATACACTAACAGCAATAATCTACGTAATACCTACCGTTGATGATATGGCACGAGCTGGGTTTTTTTTATCTTGGAACAAAAACGATTGTAATCTGTTTCTTTTGCAATGGATCACTACAGAACTGAGATTCAAAAGATAATCCAACAGTTGAACATGTTCGATGGTTTCCAAAATGTCTCTATGCCAAACGGTTGTGCAGTGATGAACTTTATAAAAAAAATTCAAAAATCAAAACAAATGTAATGATTACTCAACAAATCATTCTCGAGTGTTGATACCCGATGAAAAAACTCTAGCGCGATTGTTTACTGCACGCTTAGATTTGTCCGTTTCCCAGCGTTTGTTAAATTAAAATTTTAAATTATCTGCTATTAAACATTGTTTGGAAGATTACCTAGGATTGAAATGTAAGAATTATGAGCAGTCATGCTATTCCGTATCCGAAATCGATTCTTACCGATTCTGGAATTCCATCTATCGCAATCAAAGGTGATTTCGGAATAGGATGTATTCTCAGAATTATTAACATGATTAAATCAATATACTTATATTAATGAAAAAAAAAGAGAATGTTATTATTCCAAGTACTAAAATGAAATTAATTTTGTTAATTTTCTAATGAACAATCGAACTTATCGTTATCTATGGTTTCTGCCGAAGGATCGCTTACAGAAAATCAGCTTAATACTAAAAATACTAAAATTCCGAAAACGCTGAGAGCATCAAATATCAAGTAACGAGACTAAGAAAGTAGAAGAAAACGAAAATTCTGAAAATAGTTCATCATCAGTCGATTTATGTGTTCTCTGTTGGATAGAAGAGAAAAGACTGGCGTGTATTCCATGCGGACACTTAGCGACTTGCGTTTCATGTAGTCATTTCACTCCGAATATGTCCAAACTGTCGAAGAGAAATCAATGCTTTTGTTCGCTGTTATATATTATTTTATGAAATAAAAACTACAGACTAATGTCTTTAAAGAAGTCGATTACATTTCAAAGATGTTTTAGGATTTGTCAGAACTGGAAGTATTCGCGCTTTCCAGATAGAACTCATCTGTTAGTTCTCCAATACTCCAGTTTCCTGTAATTTTAAATCCTCCCAAATTATCACAATCGAGATTTCCGTTGTATTCAACAGCATGTTGTCCAACGTATTGCTTAGTAAATGACACATTTCCTTCATTATCATAACTGCCAGCCATTGTAAAAGGTCCGATTCCATCGTTTCCTTGACCTGAAACTCTTCCTTCTCTTAAAGAAAAGAAATCAAAGAACATATCAAAGCCTTGACTCCATTGATAATATTTTCCTTCTACGGCACCACCTTCAAATCTGGTAATAACTTGCGGCTGTTGAAATTCTTCATCTTTTTTCTCATCAAGAACTTCATTTACCCGTTGTACAAGAGTATCAATAATGCACTGGAATTGATTATCATCGTCCATGTTGATTTTGTTAAAGGAAGCTATTATCATTTCTAACCATGTATTTTGGAATTTTATATCATTTTCAAGAAGAACAGGAATAATATTTTTCTTTAATTGTGAAGCATATGTAAGTTCTTTTTGACAATTAATACTTTTGCTATAAGCAGTGGTATCAAAACTAATAACTGCTGCAGCACCTTCAACACCGTTGGCCATAGCAGTATTGATATTTCCTTTCATATCTCCAGCAATATCAAACCAAGTAGGTATATTGCTTTGTTTAAGCGCATCTGCTACTCGTTTAACAAGTTCTTGATTATCCCATTGATAGCTTAACATAATATGCAAACATTTAGATCCTAATGATTTGCTACGAGGAACTTCTAGATGAAAACCATCAGTTAAGTTACCTATAGACCAGTATCCATCAAAGAAGAATTGTGATTCGTTCTGAGTTATAGTTCCACAGTATTGAACATCATGTTGTCCGATATAATGCTTATTAAACTGAAATTCATACCTTTCCTCACCTGGTAAACTGGTATATTCTCCATTGATTACAAAGCCACCGACGGTATCATCTCCTTGACCAGAAATGCGTCCGTTTGTCATAGCAAACATATCAAATTGCATATCAAACTGCTGTCCCCATTGCGTATAATAACCTTGAGCAAGACTTCCATCAACAAGACTGTCAACAAGTTGTTCTTCATCGAAAGAGCCGTTGATATATGGATGCAATTGTGCTATAAGTTTCTCAAGATTTTTCTCGATATCATTTTCACTTATTATTTTCGTATATAATGCACCAGCACAAATGACACCGAGCCAACCATTTGGAGAATAAGGATATTGTGCTTTCACAGGAACTATAGGAATACCAGCTTGATCGACATAAGAAAGAACATATTTTGAAATATTAGATGCTTCGTATGCTTCGCTCATTAATGGTATAACAACATTTGCTTCTTCGGTTGCTACTTTCATCATCTCTTGCATTCGTAACGGCGGACAAATCGCTGAAATATCTTTTGCTATTAGTCCTTCAGTTATCTTTTGAGCTAAATCATATTGACATGAGCAATAGGAAATCATAACTTTATTTCCTCGTCTTCGTAAAGTTGGATGTGATGGTATCATTTCCATTTCTGTTCCATATTCTTCTGGAAGAGTCAAATAGATGGAAAATTCATCGGATTGATAGTCTATCTCCCAATTTCCTTCTATTACACATGTTATTCCCTTGCAAGAAATCTGTCCTCTATATATAACAGAGTGTCGTCCAACATATTGCTTGTACATTTCAATATTACCATGGCTACCTTCAAGGTTATATTCACCAGTAATAGTAAAAGCTCCAACGTCATCATCGCCTTGACCAAATACTTTGCCTTGTTCCAAACCCAAAAACTAGGGGAAATATACAAACTAGATATTATTATATCCTTCTACTTTATACCTCAAATTCCATCGGAAACTCTTGACCATTATATTGATAAGTAGCAGTTAAATTTCCTGATTTCGTTCCACCATGAAACAGATACTTTGCTATTGGTTGGGATTCATTGTTTTCGTCTCTTTCAAGAATAAGACTGTTAGTTTTTATGCCCATAGACATCAAGGACTTCATAAGTTCATCAAAATCAGTTGAACAACTTTTTGTGGGAGCTAAAATAGCACCTAGCCAATCTTTAGGTTGAAAATTTTCATAAACCTTAATATTCAAAATCGGAGTTTTAGTTTGATCAGCGTAATTCAATAGTTTTGATGCAGTTTTTGATATTTGTAATGAATGCGATGAAAAAACCAGAACCACAGCAGCATTTTTAATACCATTTGCAATTTTAGTATTGATATCATCATGTTCTCTGGGATGATACACTCTTAATCGTTGTTGCGCGAAATAACTCTTCAGTTTTTCAGCCTCTTTATGATCAGATTCATCTTTTTCTGCATAGGCAAAGAATATATGCTTCTTCGTCTCTTGTGACAGTGTTACTATTTTTGGCATTCTCTCCAAAACTAAAAAAGAATAATGGAATTTTTCAAACATTTTTTCAAAAGATGAGAGTGAGAATGTCGATGATGGACCTCATGCAAATTCTCGCACTCAACTCAAAATAAAAGGTTCATATATACCTTTCGTGGGAGCGTCTGAGTCATGTGGTGTTATTTGATTTGGCTGTATAGCAATCGTCGGATTAGAGACGACAGCCCGTTGCAGGTTGTTTTCGGCACGTATCGATTCACTATTACGACGTAAATTTTCGTGTAACTGTGACTTCACTGCTGAAGTTGTATCTTGTACAGAGATAAGTGTACTAATTGGATGTTTTTGTTTGATCTTGTTGCGTAGTCTGTCTCCGAAACTAAGATACGAATCCATGGTGAATGTTTGCGAAGATGTTGTGCAAATTTTCTTACTGCAACAATAGCACCAATCGAGAAGAACGACCTAATCTGAAGTAAAAGTAGATGACTACCGATTCGATCTCACAAAACACATCATTCTTCTTTAAAATATTTATTTGTATTTTGTATTTATATTGAGGTTGGCAGTGCAACGCTAAGTCAAATAAGAACGAGAAAAATGCCTGTTTTAAAAAAAATGTCAAGAAGATGAAAAAACTAGAGTAGAAAAAAAACAACGAAGGCAGATAAAGCATGTGTAGCAGAGATGGCGAGTGGGTGAAATTTTCAAATTCAAAATTTCAACAAGTAGATGAAATCGAAAATTATTGATCTGCTCGAAAAAACAATCGTCTACTTCGTGTTATAAAAACGTAATTGAAACATTTTGTATGATTGGGTTATTTGTTTGAGTTAATGAAATTAATAATTTTGTCAGTTTTTCCAAGTGAAAGTTTTACGAAAACTAAATGTGACACAGTAACGTAAATACAATGAAATAAGCTATATCTGCTTCATAAGTTGTAAATGAGTTAGTTTTGAACACATGATGAAGTAGAAAAAAAATGAGAGAGAAAGAATAAAAATAAAAGGAAACTAGTAACTAATGAATCCACAAAGTGTTACTTCTTTCTTTCTTTCTTTCTTCACTTTTTTAAAATTTCGTTCCTGTAACAAAAACAGGCGTCATATTTTTCTCAACAAAAAAAAAAGAAAGAAAACCAAACAGACACATGCATTGCTAGGTGATAGACTCAACTTCCTAACAACATTTTTTGCGACATCTTATGAAATATAGAACAAAAGAAATAGGAAAAAGATCGACTACAACAAGAAAATACTTGAAATAGTAACCATTTTGAGGGTGTGTATGTGGGTGTAGATATAATCATAAGAACAGCTGTATCTGCATCCTCCAGGTGGATGATTTGATTGTTGTTAAGACAAAGATACTGAAGTGTTTTGTATATAAAAATAAGAATAAATATTTTAAATTAACAGATTTTCCTGTTGTTGCAGTTGGTTTATTTAAACCTGAAATGATTGATTTTGTTGAAAGAAGATCATCAGCTGAGTCTGCTGTATGAATAACAACATCAGAATGACTTGTTGCTTCTATGACTGCCTACTTCTATTTCTAATTTTAATTTTATCCAAAACAAAATTCTCGTATGTCTATCTTTACTTTTACGGCACGTCTTACTCTTAACACCTACTTCGACCACACAGGTCTATAAATCCTTGAGTCGGATTTTATCGGGGACCAAGGAGCGGAATCGCATTGGGCTCTGACGATTTATCGAATCCAATTAATTACTTCATTTCTAAACAATTTCTCATATCTATAAACACAAGTTTCTTTTTGAATACTTCTTGATTATATTCATTCAAATAATTGTTGGTACAGATAAACCAGGGTTACTAACTGTTCAGGTCTCAAATGAGGTATCGGAGATGAGAAATGGGGTGCACGAGAGGTACACCTTTCCTTCAAATAGGGTACAGACGTGAGGTACAAAATTTCTTCGGAAATATATCAGATCTATTCGAAGAAGAAGTCCACAAAAGACTTATTATTACCGGAAAATCATTTTATCTTCTCTCTCTGTAAGATATATTGTGAGATGTTTGTTTTCAGACAAAAAAGTCATATAAATAAAACTCGTTTCTATATGTCTCTTAATGAAAAAACTGGAATGCACAATGATTTTTCGATTTTCTTCAAACCAGTTAGAACAGCAGCATGTAAACTTCTCAAATGCAAGGAATTTAATCGATTCAAGATCGACTGTGACTCCCAGGACGTCGTGAGAAATGTAAACTAAGAAGACTAGTCATTGACAAACGATAATGCTTTATTTATATATAGTCCACTCATCAGATAATGAAATTCCCGTATTGTCACAGCTACGACTATACTGCCAGAGAATCACGGCTTCTTTTTAAAATTTTTTGCTATAATTACCAGCAATCAGTATTTTCACTGTCAAAATCGTACACCGTCCACGATCTTGTAGTGAAAATCAATGACAGTCATCAGCTTTAGCAACATATATATTCACAGTTTTATCATTAGTCTAATTACTCACTTGCAGTAGAGCCATCGACTCTTTTTTAACTGCTGATGAGACAATACTTTAATACGATCAGTTTGTTTAACTAAAGTGATGTAATCGGTTAATTGTCACCACCTTGTTGAAAGAGTTTCAGAAAATTCTCGATTCTGGAAATAACTTACAAAATCATCTCTTTAACAATTGGAGCAAAGCCCACGACAAGATCGTGAACTTTTAAGCAATTTGGACGACGTGGTTTTACATTTCTCATCTGTGCGAAATTCAGGGGAGAAGTTGTAGCAAAAAGTCTGCTCTAGTTTTTAATAAAAAGATGCTACACTACGTATTGTTTATAAGAGTCTATTGAAGAATATCGAAATGGGGTACAGAATGCGTACCCCAAAGGTACAGATTGTCTTGGGATACAAAGTAGCGAAATGGGGTGCTGTACTCCCAAATGGGGTACAGTTGGTAACCCTGGATACGAGTTTTCAATACGTACAATAAAGTCTGACAGGACAAATAGATACGAAAGCATTTTCAAATCAGCCTTAGTTCAAAAAAATTATGTAAAAAATAAATTCGCATGTATATCTTCTGTTTTTCATAACCCAATAACATGATCTCGAAGAAAGACTTGTCATTGGTGTTTTTTTTGTTGGAAACAACCAACATACTAAAATAAATACAAAAACCTTTCGTAGTTTTTTCATCTCACAATAAAAGAAAGAGAAAGGTTTTCGATGAAGAATTCATAAAATGGATACAAAGTGCTTTGATTTACGATTTCATGATGAAACTAATCGTCAACAAATAATAAAACCAGATGAAATCGATTTGACGAATGAAAATAAAGTTCTTATGTCAAAACTTTCAATCGATCAACGAATTCTCAATGGTATCAAAGGTTCTTTATTTGGATTGGCCATTGGTGATGCACTTGGAGCTCATGTTGAATTTAAGCCACAAACTTATTTAAAAGAAAATCCTGTTAAAGACCTTCAAGGTGGTGGAACATGGGGTTTAGAAAAAGGACAAGTTAGATTTTCTAAATAGAATTTCTAAAAGAAAAACAATTCTTTACTTTTTTTAGTTCACTGATGATACATCAATGGCAATCTGTTTAGCGATTTCATTAATTGTTTGTCAAGATTTTATCCCATATGATCAATTAGTTCGTTATAAATGGTGGTATCGACATGGATATATGTCATCAACAGGACAATGTTTTGACATTGGAATAGCAACGAGACAATCAATTCAAGAATTTGAATCGCGACAAAAGAAATTTGCACAAGAAAATCAAATTGATCTTGATGAAATCGATCAATTAAGTGAAAATAAAGAATTACTTGACAAATTTAATGCTAATTGTAGTGACGATGAAGCTGCAGGAAATGGAGCTCTGATGCGTCTTTCACCTGTTCCACTTTTCTTCTATCAAAATCCTTCGAAAGCCATTGAATATTCAGGAATAAGTGCAAAAATAACACATGGTGATAAGAAGGCCATTGATTGTTGTCGTTATTATGCAGCTTTAATTGTTGCTTCTCTTCAAGGTACTTTTACAAAAGATGAATTACTTCATGGAGATTTTTATAAAATTAATCGAAAATGGTTTGGAAAAGAAGAACTTCATCCAGATGTTTTAGAAGTCATTTCGGGATCATTTAAAAAGGAAGGTGGATATGATCAAGGAATTCAAGGAAAAGGTTATGTTATCGATGCACTTGAAGCTGCTTTATGGGCTTTTTGGAGTGATGAGGATTCATTTGAAAAAGGTGTTCTTCAAGCGATTAATCTTGGAGATGATACGGATACAACAGCAGCTATTTATGGACAATTAGCGGGTGCTTTCTATGGATACGACAAATTAAAACCACAGAAATGGCGTGAGGCACTTTATGCAAAAGAATTTCTTTTATATGTTTCAAATTCTTTGGCTTTTTCTGGAGATTTATGGTACAAAAATCAACAAAAGGATAATTTAACCAAATTTAAATTAAATTTCAAACATTCATTTTTAGATTCAACTAGAAATTCTCTTCGGAGTTTAACTTCTCGTCAATCCATTGAACGAAATCCGTCAAAGACCATTGAAAGAAAAGTTATTGATTCTAAAGGTTCAATTGGACATTTTTACAATGCTTTCAATGATTCACTTACAGATTTCAAAGAAAATTGTGCTGGTTACATTCAAGAGGAAAAATTCCCTTCAAAGAAATGTTTTGTAAAACGAGGAAATGAAATCGAATTACAAAATCTTTTAGAATTACTCGGATTTGATAATGAACTTCGATTGAGTTTATTGTCTCATCTCATTTCATCTTTAGGTATTTCATCAATTGTTAATTATCCTTATTTAGTTGATGAAAATACTCGTCTTGTCTATTATTCATTAATAACACAACGAACTTATCTCAATGAAAATCATTTCAAATCAATGAAATCAACAAATGAATCAACACATTTTATCAAAGAAATTTTATATGGAATTGAATTTCTTATTCTTTTAAGATTCAATAGAGATTCAAAGAAGTTTATCGATCCATTACTCGACGATTTCTGTCAAAGTCTGAATAAAAACACAAAGTTGTCAAATAAATATTCGAATGAACAAATATCTTTATTTTCTGTTTATTCAAATATTCCTCTTTTAACTGAAAAACGAACAATTCAACAAATTTACGATTCACTTCAAGAAATTGAATCGAACGTCGATCGTCATTGGCCATTAACTTATATTCTTCATCCGATAAAAACATCAAAATCAAATCTTTATTATCCAATTCGACTAGAAACTTCGTTGAAAATTGAAGAATATTTTCAACGTTTATTATTTGGAAAAAAGATGTTTAAAACACTTATTAATTCTAATACAGCGGAGATTCTTGAACGTGATCTTCCAGAACAATTTAATCTACAAAAAGAAAAAGTTTCTTTATTAAAAAAAGAATTTGATGAGAAAAGAATGGAAATTGGAAAATTAATTTTGGAAGTTCGTCGAACAAATGACTATGAACAAATAAATCATTATGAAATTCTTTCCGAAAAATATCAAACAAATTTAAAAAGACAAAATGAAGATTTGTCATTTCATATAACAACATTAAAAGAAAAAAGTGATTTTATTAATCAATTGATTCAACGAGGTTTTCAATATGTGAACGTTGAGAAATATTTTCAGTTTCAACAAAGAGAAACTGATCAATCATTGGAAAAACAACTTGTTAAAGAGGAATTTCAGAGAATTCTTTGTTCAAATGATTCTTTAAATGAAACCAATTGGGCAAAATTAAATGATTTATTAAACGAATTCAATGAAATGAAAAAGAAAGATAATCGAATAAAACTTTTCTATTTCGATTTTACTTATTCAAAATTTCATTTAAATGAAATAAAAAGATTTCCATTGAATTCTTTCAAACCAATTCTTTCTCAACCACGAGCAATTTCTCAATCAAATCGTCGCGAAGAAATTCTTCATATTTTATTTCTTGGAAAAATCCACTCAGGAAAATCAACGTTAATCAATACATTCGTGGATTTTCTCAAATCGAAAAAACGTCGAGAGATTCAAAAAGATTTTTCAATCAATAACCTTGTAATTCCATTTGTTCATCTTATCGAAAATCAATTTGAAGAACGACAAATCCAAATTGGTCCAAAAGATTCCAATGAAAATTATGATAAAAAAGGCCAATCATTTACACAACAATGTCGATCTTATTCATTTCATTTAGAAAATAACCAACAAATTTGTCTTATTGATACACCTGGATTTGCAGATCGACGTGGACAAGAACATGATGAGAGAATAATGCAACATATTTTATCAGTTGTTAATCGATTAACACATATCAATGCCATTTGTTTGATAATTGATTCAAATGAAAAAGATTTCAATTCTTATCAAAGACCTTTCGCTCAATTGTTTAATTATTTTCAAGAAAATATTTTACAAAATTTCTTTATTTGTTTCACCAAATGTCTTTCAAATAATCTTGATGAGCGTCGTCAACAATCGATTATCAAATCTATTTCACCAAAACTTCAATCGATTAATCGAGAAAATCTTTTTCAATTTGATAGTTCATATTTAATTCAAACAGCAGCACAACAATATTTGGCAAAAGTTGATCTTCAAAATCAATCATATGAACAAAGTCAGTCAATGACATTTGAACAATGGAAAAGATTTTTAAGTCAAATTCGAAACAACACTAATCAACGTTATTTAATTCATCATCAAGGTTTACAAAATCAACAAATTCTTCGCTCAGAAATTAGACGATTAATTCGTCTAATCTTTGAAATAATTCGACATCTTCTTCGAAATCAAATTTTATTTCAATTCTCTTTGAGTTATTCAATTGAAATTCGATTTAAACCACTTGATTTTAATTATGCAACATGTTATTCATGTCATCGACAATCGAAACAAATTGGACCTTTTTGGATTGTCTTTGATTCAACACATCAATTTTCCAATAAATGTGATATATGTTCATGTCCTCCCAATCAACATGTACCGATTTCATCTTATTTAGAATATTATCCATCAGATAAACCATTCAAATATATCCCATCTGATATTCAATCTTCTATCGAAAACCTTCTTCGTGAAAGTGCATATTTATCCAATTGGCTCATGAGAACAAGTCAACAGCAAAATCCTGAAGATTTGTTTTGTTTATATTTAGAGCGAATGATCAAAGATGAACATAATGTTCTTGAAAAAAAACCCTATAATAAATTCAATGCCAAATTATACGATCTTTTGATTAGACTTCGAGAACAATATATTCAACATTATGGGAAAGCCAATACATATGAATGGAAGGACCTCGATGACATTCAAAATCGAATTGATAAGATTCGAAACGATCCAATTCTATCCGAGCAATTTCATTAGAATAACTAAGACACAAGATTTTGTTTCTCCTTTCAATTCAATAAAAATCCATTTGTGAAGAAATATTCCATTCCAAATCATACTTCTTATTTATATACGAAAAAGAACATTCTGTAATCTAATGTCAGTCGATTTCACCTAGAAAAGGCCGCCGAGATAATCATCGATAATACGAAATACTCCATCATACATCTTATCGTATAAAAAGAAGTCAGGATAGAAATGAGATCCACACCAATAAACTGAGCTTCGTCGATTTTGTGACTGAATTCTCACAGATTTTAGACAGACATGTCTATACCACACACTCACAACCTCCAATGAAATATCGTGTAAGCCTCACACTATAAGCATCTATTTATACTATTACGTAGTTGACATCTGGCGCCCTCACGATCTTCGATTTTCATTCGATCAAAGCCATTGTGAATATATTTTAACTTTTGAATAAGATGTGAAATGTGAAGATTTACTTCCCGATCCCGATAGATCGAACCGAAGTTTATTGGAAATTTGTGATTATCTTTTCAGAATCATGTCTATTGAAACACGAGCTGCTGATATGAGTTTTACATTCGCTTCACCGGCAGAAGTAATTTCCAAAGAAAAATTTAACATTTACTTGATTTTAATTCAATAAGGTTTTCTATAATCAGTCGAAGAACGTTCGACAAATTGACGTTCCAACACTAAGTGGAAATATCGTCATTCCTGGTAAATTGTAAACCATAGCAGAAAAGGAAGTATCTAATTGAATTTCAATTTCAGCTCAATCTTCTCCTCTTCTTGGTGTATTGAAACCTGGTGTCGTAACGATATCTGAATCTGATGGAAATACGAAACGATTTTTTGGTATATTGATCAAATCAATGAAAGTGTCATAATGATAGGTGAATATTTTTAGTAAGCAGTGGATCAATAGCCGTTCATCCTGATTCGGGAGTTCAATTATTAGCAGAAGAAGCGACAACGATTGACAATCTCGATATGAAAGTATTTGAAGACTATTCAACTTCGAAGATGAGAATTATTCGATTGATTTATTTTTAGGCATGTGAAGATGCACTAGTTGACGCTCGACGACGATTAGAATCCGCTCAGGATGATAAAGAAAAAGCTGAATTTCAAATCGAAGTTGATTGTGCTGAAGCAGCTCTTCAAGCAGCTTCGAGTGTTTCCTAATAGATTTATTAAACAATCATCTTTCTGTTTTGTTATTATTTGATTTTCTACATAAACAAAAACAAAAACAAAGCAGCGTCATACTTAGTGAAATGGTTTCTCTTCAACGAAGTCAAGTCTTTTCATCTCTTACTTCTGACATTGACATGTAACAGAAGTGCGTGATTAGATCAATTTCATGTGAAACATATGATGTGTAGACAAATCTAATCATTAGAAAAAGTTTTCTTTCTTGCTGATAATCAGCGTTCTCTTCATGAGTTAATATTTACCGTCGACATGTTGAATATTATTCTTCACTATTTCACTCCGCAAATTTCATTGGTTAGAATCTATTTCATATATCATTCAATAGTATTTCTTTGTCTATCGTTGATAACATTTTATGATCTAATTTCGAATACATTCATCAAAATAGTTCTCCGTATGTTTTTTACTTTATTTTTAGATTTGATAAGAAAATCTCGTTATGATTAAATAGCGTTTCTTCGAATGAACTGAAAATGTCATTAACATTTTCTCATTTATGCAATCAGATTGCTGCTGCATCGATTTTCTCGTCACCTTACGATGTACCAAAGAAACCTCTTAGTGCCTTACTTAATGAAATGACACATTATGTTGCCATACAAGCAAAATCAAGCAGTGAAGATGAAGCGATCATTTTTGGGTAAGGACAGAAGTTTCTATTGAGATAAAACTTGAAACTTTCGTCATTTAGATTACAACTTCTTCTTTTGAGTGATGTGGAACGTGTTCGAGCTGCGTCGATTCGTGCGCTTCGCTATTCGATTCATCGAGAAATGATTCTTGAGAAATTTCTGCAGTATCGTTTAGATTATTTGATTTGTCGGTAAGATGACACGAACACGATAAGTCGTTGAGCTTTGATTTGCTTTTATGATCAGTTCATTGGCAATCGATCATGGAAATGCTCGTGAACGGTTCGAATCTTATAAATTTATTCGTCGTTTTCTTCATTTGTATCCGAAACAAATCCCACATTCATTTATTTATATTCTCGATTCAATTGTTCTATCCAGTACCACAACAACAACAGCAACAACCAAACAATCGGATCAAATGATCAAGACTTCCTTAGAATTGTTATGCGAAATCGGTACAGTGCATTTCGCTTTCTCTTCATCGTCAATTTCCTTTCGTTTCAGCTCTTCACAATCCTCATATTTTACAAGAATGTCACGTAATCAATACCATGTTGAAATTCATCGTTGATTTCGAACAAGACGAATTAATCGAAAGTGTCATTTACGCTTTGTTACATTCCATAGAACGTTTTACAATTAATGACAACAGCGAACCAACAATTGTCGATGCAACTGATCCCAACGGACCATCGTTGATTTTCGTAGATGAAGGAATGAGACAACGACATGAATTTGTTAGAAATATGTTCTCGGTAAGGACAAAAGTAGTTTGAGTTATCTTTGTTATATTTTGATTCGATTTCAGCAATTGGTTGCGGTATTTCCATTATGTGAAAAGGGAAACGTGAAAAGTACGGATCGTCGTGGAATGACACCAGCAGCGTAGGATAATTGATGAATATTCGTGTTTGTTTTCCATTAACTATTTATAGATATCAGAATTTAACAGTGAAAGATGCAGGAAAATTGAAAACTTTGAAATCATGTACAACCGCATTGGTGACAATTCTGCACAGTTGGATTGGTTTTACAGCATTCTGTCAATCAAAAAATTCGTCAGTTCGTTTACTGGTCAATTCGCTCATTGCTCAATCCGAACCAATGAAGGTATGCTCCGAAAGTTTTTGTGAAAAATCATTTTTAATATTGAGGATTTAGATGGCACTGCTCGATCTCCTGTATGATCTACTCAATCTTGATACTCCAGCACCATGTGATAGTTACGTAGCTGCACTCCAATCTATATGTAGGTTTTTAATTGAATAAAAGAGCGAATAAGATGTTTTGCTTTTGTATTAGATCCAGTATGGAATTTAACGACAGTCGAAGAAGGTTATACTTATGTTGCGAGCGAAGGAGCGGCAAAAATACCTCGAATATCATCAACAAGGTCGATTGGCACTTTTCATCAATAATATGAATATTTCATCTACTTGATTTTCTAGACCAAACTTACTCGATAGTCATATGGCTTTGATGCTTCTGACATTCATTGATGCTGGTTTTCTTGAAGTATACTTCTAGTTCTCGTTTCTTCAGCTGTCATTTGATTTTTTTCTAGGCTATTACAGAGGTTGCATCATGCGATAATACAATCTTATCCATTCGTGCTACACTTCTTCTCGCAAATTTCATTTGGCTGGTAAGATCGAATTGATTGTTTCGTAAAGCATCAACACGAATCGTTTAGTGTAACGAGCATCTTCCTGAAGAGCAGAGTTTTCTTCTTTTACCTCTGCTTATGGACATTGCGATAGCGGATGATAACAGTCTTAAACGAAGGTATGATGTTTATTTATATGCAAAGGAAATTCTATGTTTTCTTCTCGATTTAGTTTTGCTAAGGAATCCATGCTTCATATCAATACATTCTTTGAATTTAATAAACGAACATGTTGTACACATTCATTCCAATTAGCACAGTTGATTTATCATTCTCAACATTTCAAGGATTATTTTACTCTACCACAGAATGTAATTATCGAATCGACACGAAAAAAGTCGGGTGGAGTTTCAGATGATCCTGTAAGTTGACTGAGATTTACTAAACAAATAAATCCTTTTGGTGTTTTAGTTAGCTGCGGAACGAATTGATAATCTAATTGGTGAAACGAATACTTTGCAGAAAGATGATTATAAGAAATGGAATTGGGATCTTATTCTAGCTTTGTTGAAGGTAAAATATTGAATCATATACGTATGAGTGATTTTAACGATTTTTCGTAGGATTTTCCGAAAATTTCCAACCAAATCCAAGGTGATCTCTATGAAAGGTAGACTATTATTTTATTTCGATTCAAAAATATCGTTCTTTTTTCCGATAGATTCTTGGATAAGTTATACGATTTTTTTAAACCGGAACAAAAAGGTGGTTTTCGAAATATTCAGTTAATTGATCCCTTATCAGATGTGACTTGTCGGTGTTTAATCGCTTTTTCTGATCTTTTACTCTACCCATCACGAATATCCTCCAATCATATTAAGTACATCGCAAGTAACATTGCTCGAGCATTGCTGATGAGCATCAGTAATGCACTGACACAAGTAAAACATGTCGTTGGATCGGTATCTGAAACATCTTTCTCTTTGTTCACAGTCAATTCTTGCAATGAGAGAAGGAGTTGGCCAAGCGCTGATTATGGACCATGATTTGTTATCGAGGAATGCAGTTTATTACTACTTATTCCTCGGACGGTTAAGTAAGACATCGTTCGGAACTGAAGTTCTAGCTGAAGCAGAGGTATTCCTTCGGTAAATTGAAATTCATTTCCCGCATCCCTTCATTACTTTTTCTTTCAAGTCTACTGGATATGTTAAAAATGGATGATGACTTTGCCACATCGGCGATCGTCGCTTTGTCATCGTTCAATTATTACTACGAAGGACCCTGTCGTCATTATCTTTCTCAAGCACTTCAATCATCGTGTACAGTAAGTTACAAAATCGAATGAGAACTCCATCGTAATCAAAATTCATTTCAGGCACTTCGTTTGTATAGCACGAGCCTTCTTCGTGTGATTCTACGTTGCAATCCAGTGGCATTTGGTCAATGGGGTTTGAACCTTCTAACTTCACAATTAAACGACACAGATCAGAGTGTCGTTCTGGAAACAGTATCGGTTCTTGACGAAGCTCTCGAAGATAAAGTAATTGATGTTCTTCATGAAACAAAAAACAAAAAACTATTCAATAGAGATTGGTCTATTTGTATCATAAACAATGGGATGCATTGGAATCGTTGAGTAATAAAAGTGCCTATTTAAATAAGATTTATCATTTACTTTCGGCGCGTTTCTCTTCAATTCCGTTCCATCAGATTCAATCGAATGACAAACACTTAGCAAGGGTTCGTGAAGAACTTTACTACTGGGACCAAGTCTTTAACAGTGATTATGTGGTTTTTATGGAAACAAGATTATTCGGTGCGTACTCCGGTGGCGCTTTGCTGACCGATGATTATTTCGAACGACGGAAAACTCCGACGACCGGAGGAAAAGTGAAACGGAAACGAATTAACATCCATGTTTCATCACATATTTACCGGCAACTATGTCTTCACAACGAGGGATTTCGTTTATTGTGTACACAATCGCGTTTAGAAGATTATGCGACGGAATTGAAGCAGCATCCAACAAATTGTATTAATTTAGAAGAAACACGTGCAATTAAAGAAGCATTATGGGCATTAGCACATACAGCAAGTACTGAAAATGGTTATACATGGTTCATGGAGAAAGATTTATTAGCAGATTTCCTACGCTTTGCAGAAGAATGTCAGAATTTATCTGTTCGAGGGTAAAATCTCACTTTTGTCTCCTATATTGAATAAAATTAAACATCTTTTACAAATTAGAACGGCATTTTATGGATTAAGTTTAATCGCTCAAACCCCCGATGGTGCAATGTCATTGAAAGATTTCGGTTGGGAAACTTATCGTGTCCGTGCTCATTCAATTCCATCGTCTGTTGCCAATACTGATAGTTACCAATGTGCCGAACGACGTTTAACGAAAACAGGAACAATATCATCGACGTCTAAAACGTTCGTCCAGCAACCGACGTTAACATCAACTGATAATTTAACAAAGCATAATATAAATGAGCCAAGCACAGCTGATATTTCCGGCAGATTTCGATATCTTCAAACCCAAGATTCGATGGTGCCCGATGTTAAATCAAAACGTTCATTAACAATGCCTTCAACTATCCTACTGAATTCAACTGAAAAGTCGGACATTCGTTGTAGTAAATGAACATTTGATTTCGATCGAAGACATATCTTTTGCTTTTAGCTCCGATTTCGGAAGAAAGTGGATCGCCTCCTTCAACGAAGATGACAGCAACTGTATCATTTCCTGATGGCTTCACACCTGGTGATGGTCCGCTATTAGTTACCGTTCCTGTTCGTCGTTCAAGTGTATCCAAAGATTTAATCAACCTCTCCATCCAAAGCGACTCAAGTTTGAATCCTGGTCGAACAAGTTCTTTTTCGGAAATCGATTCAACTCGTTCACCGTCCTTCGGACCAAATTCATATTCAAATCAGCCTTCATCTACAACTGTGCAATCAACGACAGATAGTTTACCATTAGAACGTCTTCGTCCTCGTTCCAAATCCGCGCATCAATCGAACGCACTACGCCGTTCCAAGCAGTTGCAAAAGATTCCTGAAGTTATTCAAGCACTACGCGCACCGACTGCGACGAATGAAGGAAGAGCAGAGTCATCCGCAACTGAGGAACTCTATCGATCACGTTTATTACGATGTAATTTTCTTTTAAAACTCGATGCGGCTGGTTATGAATATGCTAGACGTGTTCAAGAAAGAAGTCATGCAGTCTACACATATTTAACAAATACAAATAACGATCGCGAACAAGATTCGAATATGAATTACATCTCGATTATTGGAAAGAAAAACGAACTTTTATCACCGTTTTATACATATCGATCGAAATTTTTTAAGAAAATGTATGAAACGCATAGTGTTCGAAATCAAAATATCGATCAATTTACAACCAGTGATGGGTAAAAAAAAAGATTTTCGAATTATTTATTAAATTGATTTTGTCTTCGAAGGAAATATTCGTTGGAACAGCGAGATTTAGATGATGCAGATGAAGACGGAAATACCATCTATCGAGGTCTTGCTGTCCCCGTCGATATTCGACAAGTTGTTGAGGTAAGTATTTCCTTCTCCACGTTTGATCGTCTACAATTGGAAATCCGTTCAGATATCGGATGGTTATAATTTAAATTACGAAACGTGGTCTGATCTTGTTCGTTCGCGTTCACGTGCAAATACAAACGCTGACCAAACTCGGACACGCAGTGCGACAAATGCATCGAATGGTTCCGGAGGTATTTTACTCACTTTCCTATTCTAAACCACAACTTTTCATTCTGAAAAAAAAGAATTCGCACCAGCCACCTCTCCATTGCCAACAAATCCTTCACATGATCAATCCATTCCCATAGCACAATCGCTTTCACCCACAATTCCATCGATAACAACACCGACCACGGTCACAACACCTATTTGCATGATGTGCAATAGTTCGTCGCATGAAGATCCAAAAACAGCAATGCAAAAAGATTTCATCAATATAAAATCTTTATCCAGTCGTCTTATCGTTAGTATTCATTCGGAAGAAGTTGAAAAGCAATTATTAAGGTAAAATATTCGATAAAGTGTTTCCCGACAAAACATTCAATTTCGACTGAATGTTTAGTTTGAAAGAAAGTGATCCATATATGTTCGATAACATCTGTTTGTACTCAGAAGTTTGTCACATATTATCATTAAGCAATGTGCGAATAGCAGCTCAACGTTTTCTGCATGATTTGTTTTCGGATTGTCATTTTGAAAAGGTAAATTCAAAAGTGAGCATTGTCATTTAGGAACGTTCGTTTTGTTTCTAGTTACGAAGATGTCGACATCAAGTCGAAGTTCTTCAAGAAGAAGAAGATGAATAATGAGGATAGTTTCATGCGATTCCAACGACCTGAATTAATCAATGATAAATTCCATCCGGTGCCAGTTTATCTATTCTGATTGAGAGAGAAAAAAATTCCTTGTTTTCGCTTTTTTCGAAGTGATTTTATTTTTGTTTATCTATTTAATAAATATAACCAACTGAAACATGATCATTCCGACCAAAGTGAGTGTCTGAGGACACACTTTCATTTGTACCTTTTGTTAAAACATACCAAAAATAGAAATTTATTTAAAAGTCAAAGAAGAACAAAAATATCTCATCAGAGATTTACATCAAATTTTTGTAATCGATGATTATCACAATCAATCACATACAAATTTCCTTGTTGATCAAATGTTAAACCATGTGGATATGCAAATTGATTTGGTTGTTGACCATAACCATTTCCTCCGACAACAACCGAACCTTCTCGAGCACCTTTACACCAACGCATGATTCGATGATTCCACGAATCACATACATAGACATTTCCCATATGATCAACAACCACACCTTGGGGATTTGATAACCGCGAAAGAGTATTACCTTGACCTTGTCCTCCAGCAACAACAATTCCTTCTTTCGTATCTTTTTCCCATTTCATAACACGATCATTACCTGAATCGGCAACGTAAACTGAGTAATCTTGATCGACGAAGATAAATGTGGGATGATTCAGTTGATGAAGATATTCACCTTTACCATTGCCACCTGCAACAATCGTTCCGTTTGCTTCTCCATCCTTCCATCGTCGAACTTCATGTTTTTCATAATCTGAAACATAGAGATCTCCATTATTATCCATTGTTAATTGTGAACAATCAATATCTGAGATAAGTGTTCGTTGATTTCGCCAATTTTGACATGATAATTTCAAAATTCGTCGATTTCCATAATCACAAATAATCAAATAGTTACGCGTTTTATCAAGAATGACATCAGTTGGACAATTTAATTGATCTAAACCACTGCCCCATCCATTTCCTCCAGCAACCACTTTGCCAACATTGGTATCAACTTTCCATTCAACAATTCGATGATTTGACGAATCTGCAATATAAATTATTTTTCCATCATCATTAATACAAAGTCCATCTGGATAATACAACTGATTCAATTGATTTCCTTCACCATTTCCTCCAACAACTGTTGATCCATCTTGTCTCCATGTTGTATTGATATGAATATTCTTCGATGAAGTATATTTTCCTACGAGAAAGAAAAAACTCGTCATAGTTCGATTTCGTACATATCATTCGTGCTGATGAGGTCATCAATGTTTCTGAACCTTCAACCTCAATGATGTCTCTAAGATTTTATCAACAAATCTGATAGAAGTGTTTTTTTTTACCTGATGAAATGACGACACGAATTCGACTAATGAATGTGGTTGAATCTTGTTGAATGGAAATGTCTGTTGGCTGATCAAGTTGTTCTTGTAATTGTTTCAATTTCGCGGTGAATTGTTCTAAATTAATTTCATTGAAATCATCTTCTTGTCGAATTTCTCGTATTTCATCCATTAATTTCGTTAAATTCATTTCAATTTGATGAATATTTTTGATTGTATGTTGAATTAACAATTGTCGACATTCATTCGATGTTTGTTGAATTATTTTAATTGAATCTTTCTCCCATTGATCGATTTGTTTTAGAAACAATTCTTTCTGTGAGTTTGTTGTTGGTTCACTAAACGTTTGACGAAAATGATCACAATCCAATGCAATATGATGCAATTTTTTGTTTAATTCTTGTCGATGTTCAGTTAAATGATCGTAACAAAACAATTGAAGACATCCTTCACATGTAACTGCCGTTGTTTCTTTATCACATCGGATACAACGTGTTTTATTCAGTCGTGTTGCCATTAGAATTGCTGAGATTTTCCTGAAAATTGAACTAAAATAGAAACCGTTGGTTTCAAAATGACTTATCTGATTTTGTATGACGATATGCAATAAGATGAATAAAATGTGATGACTCTCTTCCTATGTATTCGTTCTCTTTTTTCCTCTGTCCTTTTAACGAAGGATGTGATGTGTGAGACAAGAGATTAGATAGTATACTCTTTTTTTTTCTTCGTTTCTTCAATGAACACGAAAATGAATCTATTTTGATCACATGGATAACGTTTTGTAACAACGCACGTGAATATACATAGTCGACTATTTTCCGTTTTGAGCAACAAGAAATTGATATACATGAAGGACAAACAATTATCTTCCGATATGATTTTCTAATAAACAAGGATGTCTCAGTCATATGAGATTTGACTACAAGGTAGAGAATTTACTGTTATTTTTTTTTGTCCTGTAAAATATTTTATAGTTTGAACTATACTAATGGAGAATATTGATGAAAAGTTTTGGATCGAATAAATGGCTTATAGATATTCAGATGTTTTAATGTACCACAATTGAAATATGTTGGGTTTGATTTGAAAGTTTCCGTCAACACTACGAGTATTGTGTGTCTGATTCGAAGGTGTAACAAACTGGATAGATGAGTATTTGTCTTCAAGACGAATAATTTGTGCTCGAAAAGAGTTCTGCATCAGTTATTGTCAACTGTTTAGCTTTATTGAACACACAGCTTTGAAAAGAATTATCAAGTTCAATGAATTCACTGAAATCATACAGAACCGAACCGATCAAATAACGACTCTTCTATTTTCTGTTGGATTAGTATAAACATACGATCTGTCTTGCTACTATCCTATTCTAGTAAAATTATGCTCGATATCGCCACTTGATGGAAATTCGATTTTGTTGATCGAATTGAAAACTTTTGTGTTGATAGGAAATTGAAAGATCTTTTGTTGTGTCACATAAATAAGAAATTGATCAGATAAGTGAATACCATCAACACAGGTTGAGTTAAATCTTTTTACTTAATGGATATAATTTCAATTCTTCAAGATTGATCATTCGAAAAAGTAGTAGAACAATCATAAAGGAGATAAATATAATCAACTAAAGGTGTAACATTTGTATTCTTCTAAAGGCCATGGCGATACTATTTATTCGCTTTGTTGAATGACAGAAAACAAAGGTCTCTATCGATTTCTCTTTGTTTCGCTAGTTAAAGAAAAATTTGAATAGTAATTCTATTACCTGATAGATATTCATAAAGTATCATTTGATCAAAATTGATGAGTAATAAAGAATAAAGTTGAGGATAATCTGGTAATACGAAGAATTGATTTTCGTTGAACATTGTTTAACAGTTAACTTCTGTACTTGACGATGAACGTGAAATCAGATTTTAGAACAGATTTATGAAAGAATTTCTGCACCCATTGAAGAAGTTTAATCGTATAATGCATTCATGGTCATAATATCCGTTATATCGTCGAATCAAGTCGTTGATTAACATGAACAAGTAAGTAAAATACATCAACAGTATAGAGTTTCTTAAAAATGAACAATAAAACTTCATCAGGTAATTGTAATTGTCAGATAGAAATGTCAAACACATTTCTTACTTTATTCCAAACGTTCCAAGTCTTCCCATTTAAAAATAAGTGATGAAATTTCTCTCGTGAAAAGAAAGTTTTTTCTTTCCCAAGATCATTAAGGATAGTTAATCGAAGAACAATGAAAACGAAAGCAGAAATACTTTGTTTTGAATGGATCCCACGACTGATATCGCTTGGTTTCTGTCAATCCTGAAGAAAACCCGTTGATTCCATTTTTCATCAAGTTCCAGTGTCTTCCTGCACGATCCAGCTCGTATCTCTTCACATGGATACACTTTCTTTGTCGTTGATATTTGAATGTACATCACAAAACGTGTTTCTTCTATCTATAGTAACGACAATAATATCTCGAAACTAATCTTAGCGGTTACTATTCTAAAATACTAAGTAATGTCGAACTATTTTGAGAATCATATTTCTCACTTGTACAAGTGCTTTAGCAGTTTCGTTAAAATCTTGACTATTTCTTTTTTCTTATTGGAAACACAATGAAACTAATGAGACTTTCACAAAAAATAACATTTTCTATGTATTTTTCTATATTATTATTCATTTTCGAGATCAAATTTTTGCACTCGATTATTTCCCCAGTCTACAACATAAAGATTGTCTTGTCGATCAAGTGCAACACCAGTTGGACAACTAAATTGATTTGGTTGTTTACCACGACCATTTCCACCTACGACAACTGTACCTTCACGTGNAACACAATGAAACTAATGAGACTTTCACAAAAAATAACATTATCTATGTATTTTTCTATATTATTATTCATTTTCGAGATCAAATTTTTGCACTCGATTATTTCCCCAGTCTACAACATAAAGATTGTCTTGTCGATCAAGTGCAACACCAGTTGGACAACTAAATTGATTTGGTTGTTTACCACGACCATTTCCACCTACGACAACTGTACCTTCACGTGCTCCTTTTGACCAACGTACAATTCGATGATTATAACAATCCACAACATAAATATTCCCTAATCGATCTATCGCTAATCCAGTTGGTGATGATAATTGTGTTAAACTACTACCTTGTCCGTGTCCACCTGCAACAAGAATACCTTCTTTTGCACCTTTACTCCATTTCATTATACGATGATTTTCACAATCTGATATATAAAGTGATTGATCTTCATCAACTGAAACATAACTTGGATGATAAAATTGATTTAAATGATTTCCTTTTCCATTTCCACCGGCAACCACCGTTCCGCGTGTATCTCCATATTTCCAACGTGTAATTTCATTTTCTTCCCAATCCGATATATAAATATTACCATAACTATCCAATGCAACACAAGAACAATCAATATTTGATATAATTACTTGATTATTTGCGTCATTAGAGCGAGACCATCGCAAAACTCTTCCATTGCCTCGATCACAAATAATAAATGAATCATCGGTTTTATCAAGAGCAACATGAGTAGGTTGATTTAATTGATTTATTCGATTGCCTTGTCCATTACCACCTGCAACAACATGACCATTTGTTGAATGAAGTTTCCATTTAATAATTCGATGATTTGATGAATCAGCGATATAAAATCGTTGTTCTTCATCATCAATATAAATATCATCTGGATAAAATAATTGATTTAATTGACCCCCTTCACCAGCACCACCAGCTACTGTGACACCAAATTGTTTCCATTTTCGTTTAGTTTCATGAATCACTTGAGGTATGACTTGTCCTCCTACAATATCCACCAGAAAATGAAATTCGGATCTACAAGACTCGTAGCGTTTTTTTTTAGAAAATGGACTTTCTTTGCATTTTACCCTCACAATTTGTTATGTTAAAGGTCAAAATTTATATTATATGTGCTATTATCTGATCACAGCTTGACTATACATAGGTTCTACTTACCGGCAAATGCCATAACAACAGAAATTTTATTAATTAGTTGTGTTGATTCTTCTCGGACAGTTATATTTGACAGTTGATCGAGTTGTTCAGCTAATTGTTTCGTTTTTTGCTGAAATTGATCTAAATCGTATTCGTTGAAGTCGTTCTCTTGACGAAGATCGCGTAATTGATTTGTTAATTTCGTTAAATTACTTTCAATTTGATGAACATGTTTCGTAGTATGTTGAATCAATAATTGTCGACAGTCCGATGCTGTTTGTTGAATAGTTTTAATTGAATCTTTTTCCCATTGATCGATCTGTTTAATTAACAAATGAATTTGAGGATGATTTGTTTGTTCGTTGAGCGCTTGACGAAAAAGATCACGACTTATTTCTATATCATCTAATCGTTTATTTAAATCTTCTCGATGAGTTAGAAAATGATCATAACAGAATAATTGTAAACAACCTTCACATCGCACTGCTCGTTTTTCTTTTGCACATGTTACACAACGAGTTTTAGTAGATGGTATTGCTACTGATGTCATGATATTTTATCGTA